TAGACACTCACCCCTCTCTCCAACCTTTGGTTAACTTGGCACATTTAACGCTTTGCTACATTTACAGAATTTGTTTCATGTTTGTTTTTTTTTTGGTTCTATTCAACTTGTGCTGCTTCTTGCCTCTGGCTGTTAAATTGACACGTGTTTAAATATTTACGCCCCGACAATTGCTGTAAACAATTTTTTTTTTTTACTTTGGCTTCGTTCCAGTTGGTGTTAACATCGACTTTGACTTGAGCTCAGCTACTGTATGAGGCCGCAAACAGCTGAACAACAACAACAATAGTTGCAACATCAACAACAATTGAACATATCTCATTGCAGGAATTTGTAAATTTAACAGCATTTTGCAACAGTCTCTCTCGAGTGTCTGTGCTCTTATCTAATCTTATCAGCTGACGTTTACCTGGCCCATGCATCAATAAATGTGGCAACAGGCAACCTTGAGAATTTCTCCTTTATTTTTGGTAACGCTGCTTTCTTTCGTAGAGTTTCAAGTTTTCGATTGTTGATAATAGGTATTATTTAATTAAATAGTTATCCCAAACGAAGCCGAAGCAATTGTTATTGCATCAAGCCTTTATCCTCTGCCTAGTTTCCAATTGGATTAATACACACACATTCTATATCTATATACACAATCTTTCTTATAGACATCACTTAAAGTGCCAAGAATTTCAATTGCATTCGAGCAAAACACATCAATAAAAATGTCGCACACATAACAAGTGTAAAATAAAATAAACGAGAAAGTTGGGAAGTCTTTGGCAAGCCGAAGACTCAATACCCTTGCAGATATGTGGGAATAGGGAAGCTCGAAGAGCCTGAGTTATAACATAACAATCACCATAACAATCTTTGCCATGGAAGTTATGTGATCCGATGTTGATTAGATTTTGCATATATATGACAATCAAGGGGAACTAATGAATGCCTGGTTTAGGTAAGATATCTTGATAAACAAAAAAGTTTCCTAAGATATATTGATCCGATCTGGCCTGTTCTGACACTTGTTCTGCCTGCCTTCAAAACTGAGACATGGTTATAACAGCTCGGCTGTTGATGCTCATCTAGAATATATATACCAGATAGTCTCGGAGATTAGCTTCTTCTATGCCTTACACATTACGTGACAAACTTATAATACCCTCTGCAAGGGTATAAAGAAGGTAACTCAAATCTCAGATCGTTTGCCCCCCGCTCGCGGGGTCTTAAACACAATTAGCTGAGCAATCAACCCACATTGTGAACAATTTCTGTCTGCCGCCCCTTCCTCCCCCTCCCCCTCCTCAACAAAATGCGTTAAGCAAGTGTGCTAAAATCGTAGACATATCGCTATAAATTGTTATACATTTTTTTGCTTGACTCCATAAAAGGTCGTCAAAGTTGTCGACGTTGTTCTTGTTGGTTCTGGGTCGATGGGGGCGGTCGGTCGGCTGCTGATTTAAATAAATTATTCTATATGCGTTTTTATTGCATTTAACCGCAACCCCCCTGCTGCATGGCCTCACACTATGCCACCTCACCATAAAAGCGCGCACAAAATGGTTTATTTTTATTATTTTTTGCTTGATGGGGCTGTTAAGAGGCTGCTCTGTGTAGGGGATCGGCTCGGCTCTTTCTATATACAAAATTGTTTTCTGTGCCACGTAATTGAATTTGTTCACTTAATTTTGTTTTATGACGTCTGTGTTGTTTATATATGTATATCTATAAATAATTCTCACCTGAGCGCGGCTTGTGCGAATTGTTTTTGTATTTTTCTATCTGCGGAAAAGACGAATTTGCGCCGGAAGTTGCGTGTTACACAATATATATATATGTATATAAAAAATATATATTTAATACAGAGAGAGACATCAAAATAAATCATTGCTCTTAATTTGATTCAAGTCGCATAATTTGATGTTTGGCAATTTCATTATGAAAGTTCATTTCCTTCCCAGCGGCAGCTTATCGATTTGGGTCAGGGCAACTTTTTGGTTATTATGATAAACGATGTAATACCAGTTGATAATTTAAAACGTGTTGTATTAATATTAATAAATAATAGCGAAGGACGTGCTTAACAAGACATTTAACACATGATTAAAAGGTCTTAGATATAATAATTTAAATAAAAGTAAATACCTAAAAGGATTTTGTAAATCGCCAAATAGAAAGCATAGATAACAATATGAAGGAAAGTTAAAGTAGACACTACTTTAAATTGAATTGAAAAGAAAGAGAAATGTATGGAATTACTGAAAAGGTTTTAAACATTGGAAAATAACATATAAAATAAAGAGAGTGACATGCAGAACTCTTAAATTAGGCACAAATTGAAATTGGATAGAATCAAATTGAATTGGAAAAGAAATCCTAGAACAAGAGAGAGATTGTAGCTTGTCGAATATTTGGAATGTTTAGAAGAAATTTTGAAAAATATTACATAGGAAGCAAAAAGTTCATATTATTAAAACTCATAAAAATATTCACACTAGATATGTATAAAAGATTCGTTAGTATCTGGATAAATATATATAATACTTTGAATATGTGCAAGAAATTCCGAGGACAGAATATGCTAAGGAAATATGAGTACTTTGAGCATGTAGAAAATACCAATTAGATCTGGAAATATAAAAAAGGGAAATTGAGAAAAATGAAAATATCTTAAAATTCATAAACATGAGCACATTAAATGGGATTATATCACAGAAATGTGAGTACTTGAGTATGGAGAAAATGGTTAAATGAATGCTATTTAGAGAGCAGCAGTAAAAACATGAAACGACATTTAAATGTCCAATTTACTCGCTCACTTAACGACAGCCCAATTAATTAGGGATTTCTGCAGACTTGGCCAACTAATCAAGTCAAGTGCCGACGTTCATTTCGGAGACGAGGCCGAATATAATCGCTTGGTGGGACAACTTGCTCGCCCTTAGCCTGGCCAAAGAGTTTGAAAGGCGTTTCTGCTGGCTTTTTGCTTAAGTACCGCCCCGCAAACGACTCGAGTCAACCAAAAAATTAATAGATCCCCCACCGCCACATTCTAACCATTCCCGCGCCACCCATTCCCTCTGCTGATCCAGCGTAATGAACCACTTAGGCCGCACCACCTGACAACGCTGCTAAGCAGTTGCCACATGCCTTCAGTCAATGCCATGCAACATAAATCATCTTGGCGGCACTTGGACACGTGCCACACAGCCATTACCTTTGCGAAGCCAACCTGGCCTGCATCGGCTGGCGGGTTGGCCAACCCTCTAGTCATAAGCCAATTGTCAGTGGGGCAGGTTCAAGTCAACTTTTTCTTTTTGGGCTCCCGCACAGCTGCCTCGAGTGGTTTTTATGATGGTTTTGTTCACCGTTTCCTCGGGCCTGGGCTGGAGGTTGCCCCGCTCAAAAGAGGAGACTTCCACATGTGCGGGTTACTTGTCGTGTTTCTTGTATGTTTGCCTGTCTGTCCCCGTCTCGATGTCTGTGTCTGTGTCTACTGTCATTGCCTTTTCATATTGCACGCATTTTCACGCGCTTTTCTTCGCTCCGTTGGACATGGCGTAAGGAAAGCAGGAAGAAAGCAAAGCAATGCCAATGGCTTTTCAGCATTACTTCTTAATATGCCCAGCACTTTATTTTGGGCTTGAGTGATTTTCTTTGTTTTTTGCTTCTTTCACGAAGCGCGTTTGATGAAGTTTTACGAGCGCCCGTAAAGTTGACTTCTCTGCATTCAGTTATTAAATTTCCATCTTTTTCCATATTTTTCCATTTGCCCGGCCTGGGGGCCCAGCCTTTATCGCCTTGGGCTACCTGCTTGAGCAGCTGCACGGCGCATAAAGCCACTGAAATTGGATTTGTTTTTGCGGCCGGTTGCCGCTTGCCGCATCGTAAAATGAATTATCCTAACAAGTAAATATGGCCAAGTTGAGAATACGACTAGGTGCTGCCATACAATTAGAAGATACCGTCTAATTAGAAGCTTAAAGGAAACTATGTGGCTAGGTGTTGCCATACACCTGAATTGTTAAAATGTACTTGGCTGTAAGTTCTATATCCCATGGCTGCTAGAGGACTTAATTGGTACCTAGGTGAGGCTATGAAATTTAAAGTAGCTTTATTTCTAAAAATGATTCATTTACAATGTACACAAGTAGCTTTCATAAAACTGGAAATTATCATGTACTCAGGGTAGCTGTTGTGTACCATGGTCTTTGGTGGAACTTAGGTACTCGGGAGTTCTTTGTGGTAAAGAAGGACTTGCTAGTACTCGTAATGTACTTTAAATCAAGATTTTATCACGCACATAGCTTGCTATTGGCATACATCGAAAACTTACGCTTAACATGTACCTAAAATTTATTGTGTACCAAAGAGTTGTCATGCACTTACGTACTTAGGTACTCTTAGGAGTTTTCATTCATCTGAGTGCTATCTTGTACCGGTCTTTAATTAAAATATTTTGTATATTTGAGAATTGTTTGGAGCATTTTATTTGACCGAGCTGGAGGACTCTAGATTTTACAGTGCCTTAACTATATACGGGCAGCTCTTTTTAATCAATAATGCTGTGTATCTCTTTTGTCAATTATATTGGAAAAACTTAAAATTACCTGCTGAGTCGTTTCATGATAACGGGACGAACAGTAAACAATTTTGACTCTATTGACCAAAAAATGTAATTAATCAACTGGCACTTGAGCAGCTCCGAGCGATTGGCTTTTCGATAAACTGAAGTGCACGCAAATTGCAAATTGATTGCATTAAGTTTGAAGCAAGGTCGCAATTAAATTATTCCCCAACTACCTTTAGCACACGCCGTAAATGACTTTGAAAGTGAAAAGCAAAGATATTAAAAAATATTAAAGGAAAGCAGCGTCGACCAAAAGCAACCGCAACAAAACGCATCCAAATATTTGAAACCAAAAATACAAAACCAAAAAAATAAAAAAAAAAACAAAATAAAAATAAAAACCAAACAAATCAAAAGCAAAACAAATCAAAGGCAAAACAAAACAACGTCAAGCAGTCAATCAACATCAATCAAAATAAGCCCCCCAATATCAACAAGAAGAAGAACAACAACATGCTGAAAATACACATGCTGGAGCAGGTCGTCAGCACGGACAACGTCTGCGAGAATGCTGCCCAGGAGCTGTCGCCCAAGCGCAAAGTGGCCACTGCTGGTGGCGCCTGCGGGGGCGGGGCTGGTGGCAGCTCCTCCTCCTCGAAGAGCACACCCACCGTTTCGGCCACCTCGTCGCCGCATCATCAGCCAACGCCGCCGCAGCGTCACATTCACACAGCGGCAGCCGCTGCGTTGGCAGCTGGCAAGAGCTTCAGCCAGGGATCCTCACCAGCCGGGTAGGTCTAAACAATCAACACACACAAACACACACACACACACACATACACTAACAGCTTGTGGGGGCCATTAAAAGGGCATTGCATTGCCGCTAACTTGGCCAAGATTGACGCCATGTGACGCCCCTGACAAATTGCATGATGGATGCCTTTTTGATGGGATGCCCCCAAAATGCGCTTTCCCCATCTCCCTCTCTCTCTCTCTTTCTCTTTTACTCTCTCTGTCTCTTTCTCGTCATTTCTCTCGCTGCATTTTGTCGCATTCCTTTGGTTTTTGTGGCCATCATAATGAGTGCATTGCATCCCAAGCTGCCACCGGCTGTTGCAGCTTGCCGCTTGCCACTTGCCACTTGCTGCTACCTACCATCCAATTCCCATTCCCAACTTCAGCAAAATTTCACCGCAATTCAGTTGTGTCAATGATTTGCCAAAGTTTGTTGCTGCCAATTTGTTGGCTCTTGCAACAATGCAACACGTGCAACCATTGTTTGCCACTGCAGAGCGAACCGCTAATGAACTGTGATCCACAATGTAAGAGCAGCTTACAGATGTGATGTGCTTCTTGCATCTGCATTAACTGAATTCTTTCACGAAATATTTGGATTGTTAAAAACGAATCTGCAGAATTACGTGTTAAAATTCTTGGCTTTGATCTATTGTGCAACTCTCGCACTTATTGTTCCATGTGGATGGCTTTATGGAAGCATTAAATCGGCAGCTAAATGATTTAATAACATTTAATTACAATAATTTTATTACGATATTATTTTATTATTATTAAATGTATTATATTGTAATATACTTTGCACTTGAGTTTATTTTAACGGTAAACATCCATTTAGACTTCGATTTCTCAGGATCAAAAACATTTCTTCCCTAAGCTTAATATAGAATCGGAATCTTTAAACTAAGTTTTCAAAGTTCCTTAAAAATATACATACGTTAAGCTAATATAAAGTTGTTTATTTAATTTATATTATTTTAATATTTACAAATCAGATATTTTGTTTTTTTTTTTAGTTCTCATAGTTTATCAAATTCAGTTAGGAAATCACATGCTTACTTTATTGGCATACTTTCGCAGGAAATAAATAATTTAGTAGTTGCCATAATATCTGACATTTTCTGAATTATTCGCAGCGTCAAGGTTCCTATTTCTTTGGGATTTTCGCACCTATGCAATATGGCTTAAGATTTTACTCGATTTCCCTTGAAAGTTCTTCCAATAAATCGCCAACTGCTTTTGCCACACATTATCTCAACATTGTAAATACCATTTCCTGAAAATATTTCTTCCTCTTTTTTTACAAGCCCAAGGCAAGCTTTAAAGCTCTTTATGACTCTGAGCTGCCCAATGTAAGCCATTTATTGTTGTCCATTCTTGGTGCATCAGTTCTTACTTTTAGACAAGTTTCAACTTGAATTTGTTACCACTCCCCCGCCACGCCCCCGCCACTTGGCAGTCTCTCATTTCGACGCTTCTTGCCATTCAACTTGTTAACTGTTCACCCTTCACGTGCACCTGCCGCAACCTGTCAAGAGTTGCGCTGCGCTTCATTTGTGCGGCTATCTTGTGCCCACTAGCTGAGCAACTCTTTCTATAACTTCCATCCCCCTCCCCCCTCGTAAGTGAACTTTCATTGTTTTCCTGCTGCTCATATTTGTATACCCTATTGGAAAGTATTAGATATTTGTCATGAATTGTGTGCGGCATCGAGGTATACCCTATGGAGTACATTTTGTTTTCTTTAGCAATTATTAGATTGGAAACAAGCTTTTTTATAAAAACTTGAAGTTGTATGCCTGCAAGAGTATTTAAGCTTCGTCATGCCTCAGGCAACATTTTTTACTCTGTTTTTTTTTTTTTTGTTTTGCTTATTTCGCCTTTTTGTTATTTGTAATTCTTTGCTTTTTATATTCGCATTAGAGACTTGTAATTGATACCTGACTAAAGACTGTGTGTGTGTGCGTGTGTGTGTGTCTGTGTGTGCAAGAGATATATGCATACATACACACAATGTACATATCAACATCTTCCCCTGCCCCAATCCCCTCCCTAAAACCCTAAAGAACAATGCCTCTTGCCTGTGGACGTGGCGTGGGCGCGTTTGTAAATAATTATTATACCAAGTCGCACAAAGAAAAAAATACTTTTCATTTCTTTTGTTTTTGCAGTTGTTGTTGTTGTTTTTCTTCTTCTTCTTTAAAGAGCTTGGGGCTCTGCTTATGTCCCTCTGCCGCCCCAAATGAACTTGACAGTCACAAGGGATTTTCGTTTCTTGTCTTTTCGTTTTGTTTAGTTTATTTAACATCCGCACACACACACACACACACACACATACACATACACATAAGCTCTGCGCCTTTAGGCATAATTTTTAAAACATAAACACTTCCGTTTCCCCTTGGCTCCCCTCTCCCTCCGCGCTCTTGTTTTCAACTCTTTTTTTTTTTGAGGCTATTTTTACTTAATTACTTGGCTGGGCTTAGACTGTCTTCTGCTCGTTGGCTTTTCCATGTCTCGCATTAGCCCCGACAACAATTTTGATTTATGTGACCCAGAGATGTGCCACCCCCTCTCTGCCTCTTTGTATATATATATATATATATATAAAGCTATATATACAGCTGGCTCTGCTCCCAATATGCCGGACCGCAGCTAGAACTCGATCTCCATTTCGTTTGCCGGCAGTTAGTCGACCTCAAAATGTTGGCAGACAGTTAGCCCAGTTTACGGAATCAGTTGGACAGTCGACAGTCGACAGTCGGTCAGTCGACGAGCGAGATGGCAACGCTTGTAGAATTTGGCCAGATGTGCGTATTCCTCAATTTCAATGGCATTCTCTGGCTAATTTATATGCAAAACTCGAGCCAAATAACTGGCCAACAGCAGCAGCAGCAGCAACAACAACAAACAGCCGACCAGGCCAGATCATTTATCACTATTTAATTTTACGTGTGTGCGTGTGAGTGTGTGAGTATGTGCGTGTGTGTGTCTGCGTCTTGTGCTTGCTTCTTTGTGCTGCTTATGATACCCTGTATTTGTGATATGTGACAAGGCGGCCATATTAACTAGATGTGGAACATATATTTCTTACATATTTTAATTGGAGTCAGAAAGTTAATTACAAAGAGTTGCCAGACGTTTCAAATACAGATAAGATGGCAAGACTCTAGCCTTAATTGGGTGTAAGTCAAATCAATCTAACAAGCTATGTTGGAGAAATAATTCTCGATTAATATCTACATAGATTGATATTAAATAGCCTTTCATATATGAAGCTATAAAGATGATGTCCATTTAGAATTGTAAATTTGCTTTTGATTTCCAGCGCCTAAAATCTTACATATATATTTATTATAGACATCTCTATATATATATATATAAATGTATGTTCCCTCGTCTTGTATTACAATTTACTATATTGGCTCTTTCCAATTTTGATTTGAATATTTGCTGTCTCTGAACAAAACAAACTACAGGGTATTTTCTTTTCTAGTTTTTGGATTATTAGCTTAATTAGTTTGGCATAAATTTTAAACCAGAGAGCTCAAAATACCGCTACAGGGTATTTCCCAGTCGAGCATACTCGACTAACCCGGCTATTTCTGGTATTTGTGATTATTTGCTTTTGTTGGGAAATAATTTGGCATGCGCTGAGCTTAAACCATCTCGACACGCAACATAACTATGAGCCACACTTTGTGGGTGGCTTATTTGGCCCAAGCTTTTGTTGTTGACCACGGCGAGTGGTGCGAGTGGGGCAATCCGGTTGAAAATAGCTGGTGCATAATTGCCTGACAAGTTTGGTTGAAATTTAATGGCTTAATGATTAGGTAGCCAACTTTGTAGATGAGCCAATTGGAGCGCTGGATATCGCGGCAAATTGCAATTTGAATGAACTAGTTCATGTTGATGAGCCGAGACACCGAGCCAAATGCAGAAATGGCAAACTATGCCACACAGCCGGACAACTGATGAAAGACTCTCCCCGAGTGCACGTGACATTCGTGGCAACAGTTTTGCACCTGACAGGGCCCCGCTCGACTGGCTCACCAGCCATGTCTCAGCCATGGCTAACACTTGCCTAGGCTTATTTATGCCACAGCACGAGCAGCTGCGAGGAGCTGCGAGGAGCTGGAGTCGCAGTCGCACTCGCTGTCTGTAGGCATTTTGTGGGCGTTGGGGCATGTCCGCGTACGTGATTCTTGAGCAATTGCCACAACTGTCTGCGGCATGCGGGGCTGGCCCATACAACAAATCGATAAGAATTGAACATCTTAGGTTAGACTATGTGTTCATATAAAGTGTCTTTCATTTCTGGATATTTCGTAGTTAAATGCAATTGAGATCCCAACTCTAACTTTTGGCAAAATCTTTTTAGTATACCTAATTACCAAATTCCAAGATGGTTTTTTTTCAGATTTTTTTATAAAACTTGCTTGATAAATAAAAAACGAAATTAAAATCGATACCAATAATTTAATATAGTATCCGTAGAACTGACTGTGCCTATAGTTCCAAGAACAATCAGGAAGTCATAATAATACAAATCGTTAAATAGAAGATAGAAGACAACTTAATACCCAGGAAAATACCAGCTATGACTTTGTAGTCTTATTAGACAATTTTTATTTTTTTTTGGCTTATTTTTTCACCCAGTTATGAGACGAAACTCTGAAAAGAGGGCTATCAATTTTCTAATATTTAAGAAGAATCACACTGACTAGCTTCTTAGATAGTTTAAAGACAATACAAGGCCAAAAATGCATTGACAAGAATTTGAGCACATTTTGAATGACTTATAGGTCAAATATACCCGTTTGCTTTCTGTATTACAGGGTGCTTTAACGTAAGCTGACAATAGCAAAGTTGAAATTATTGCATTACGCAGAAATCTTGATAAATAATTTTCGAGTTATTTGCTATGAACAATCAACGGGCGACACAGTTAAGAACCAAGCCCCCGGAGGGGCTGCTCCAACAAGGTAACGGCACT